AAAAAAAAAAAATTGATTGTGCGGTGGGAAAACAGGAAAAAGTGAGCTAGGAAAAGAAAATATGGGAAGAGACAAGAACAAGAAGCAGATGGATCCTGGTGGGGTGGGAATGATGTGTCCACACAGGGCTGGCACACAGCAGCTGTGGGGGGAAAAGGACGAGCCTGGAATTCTGGACACCAAAAAAAGGACCCAAATCTGAGAGGGGCTGGCAGGGATGCTGTGCCCTCGGATTTATGGGATGGTGGCAACGCTCCGATGTTGGGTTCTGAAGTTGTTCCCTGTTTATTTAGCAAAAAAAAAAAATAAAATAAATGGGAGCAGCAGTGCCTGGGACAGCCATTCCCAGGTTTTGACAGAAAAATGAGAGCAGCACTGCCTGGGACAATTCCCAGGGTTTTTTTACAGAAAAAATGGGGGCAGCAGTGCCTGGGACAGCCATTCCCAGATTTTTTTTTACAGAAAAAATGGGGGCAGCAGTGCCTGGGACAGCAATTCCCAGGATTTTTTTTGTAAAGGAAATGGGAGCAGCAATGCCTGGGACAGCCATTCCCAGATTTTTTTTGCAGAAAAATGAGAGCAGCAGTACCTGAGACAACCATTCCCAGTTTTTTGGCAGAAAAAATGGGGGCAGCAGTGCCTGGGACAGCCATTCCCAGTTTTTTTGGTAGAAAAATGAGAGCAGCACTCCCTGGGACAGCCATTCCCTGATATTTTTTTGTAAAAGAAATGGGAGCAGCACTGCCTGGGACAGCCATTCCCAGATTTTGGAATTAAAATGGGAGCAGCAGTGCCTGGGACAGCCATTCCCAGTTTTTGGAATTAAAATGGGAGCAGCAGTGCCTGGGACAGCCATTCCCAAATCTGATTGGATTATTCAGTGCAGACAGGTTTTCCTTTCAGAAAGGTCACATTTATTTAATTCATTTATTTAATTCCATCCTGGAGCTGGCTGCAGGATATCTGAGCACTCCTGAATCATCCCAGTTCAACATCAGCTCTTTCCCTCCTCATCACCACTCCAATTTCTTTATACATGACTTAATCAAAGAGTAAATTGACTATTACAATTGATTAATAATGCTAATTTCAAAAGGTTTCATTTTGGGCCAGGAGTTTTAAGGTTTAAATGGGACCAAAGCAGCCTAAATCCTGGTGCCACACTCAGACTCCAAATAAAAATACAGCCCTAAGGAATGACCTATTGCTGCCATTTCAAAGTTACCTACTATTCATTTAATGAGATTACTCAAAGTGCTACAGGAAATCAGCTGTTGACTGACCCTCAAAATGAGTTTACCTCATTACCTGCCCATTACAGAGCAGAAAATACAATTATTGCAGGGACTTGGAGCACTTCACACAAAACTCCAAGAGTTGTGGGCAGTAAAAACACTTTAGTGTCAAACAAACAGGTGGCAGAAAATTGGTTTTGCCCTTTGATTTATTTAAAATTCTGCAAAGAATTCAAAAGTTTGGGAATTTGTGCAATGATCCCCCCAAATTGACTTTATTTCTGTTTTAATTCTTCCCATCACTAAAGGAAAAGGGAGCAGTGCTGTCATTCACTGACTTCCATCACTTGTCAGAAGCATCCACAAGATGAGACTAAAATTAACTTAATTGGGCCATTTTTCACACCAAATCAAAGGCCACACTTTAAAAATACCTCACAGCCCACAAAGCTTGAGAAACCATCTCAAAACATCACACAAACAATTCTTTTCAAAAATTAGTAACACTGATGAGGGGTTTGTATTTCATAAAAATTGTTCTGACATTCAAAACCTTCCAAATATGACAAATCAACCTCTGCAAAAGAGCAGAGAAACCTGGGATGATCTCCAGGTGTCCAAAGGGAGGCAAATAATCCCAATCCTAATTGAGGATATTGGTTAAATCTTAATTAACTTTCCACATTTCCCCACTTCTGAGACTCCCAGACAAAGGCTGGGCATTTGGAAATTTTTTTCTAATGACTGGCTGGATATTAAGAAATCCATAAAAACTGATTTATTTTCTGCTGTAGATTTTAATTAAGCAGCAAAATATTTGTTAGGAATGCAATCTTGAAAGGAATGGGAAGAAAACCCAGCATACTCAGGATTGGCTAAATTATATTAGTTTGTATAATCTGATTTAAAAGATAAAATGTATTTCTGTATGCAGGAGAAATATTCTGCATTTTTTAATCTATTGAAATTAAACAGAGCAGAGTTTTCTTTGGGGATTTTTTTACATGGGAAATGGTTTTATCATCCTGGAGCTGTTGAAAACAATCATTAATTTGGTGATAAAAACCCAACCACACTAAAATTGTGCTGCCAGGAACAAGGACAAGCTGGTAAATCCTCTCCCCGAGTTGAAAGCAGGGATTTGTGGATCCAACACCCCATTCCTGGCAGGCAGAAATCCCAGCCAAGGGACAGTGAGTCCCACTCAGATTAAAGGGTCACCACCCCAGCTGGATCAGGTTTTCATCCCTCCTTGATCCCAAATTCAACTTCCAGAGGGAGAACTGCATCAGCAGCCAGGAAATGACAACTTTTCTCTATTGCAGCTTTTGTTTCTGGGTGGTGGAAAGAGTTTGGGGGTTGTTTTGGTTTTTTTTTTTTCCCCTTTAAAGATGGAAAATTTGGAATAAAGACTCCTGTTATACTGGGAAATAGCAAAGCAGCAAAATCACAACCCCAGATCAAACATGCAAGTGTCACCCTCAATCCTCTTATTCCAAGTATTGCTTTCAAAGGCATTTTAAACACCCTTGAACTTGTCCCCAAATCCTCAAAGAACCAAAAACACCCAAGCAGAATCTGCCATTTATTCACATGGACCAAGAAAAGGGAAGCAGCACAGTCAGGGCATTGGAAAATGAAGCTCCAAGCAGTGAAAAATCAAAATTCAAAAGTATTGATAACCTGAAATAATCCCTTGGACCTGCCAGAGACACCAGCATTGCTGTTTGTACCTCAGAATTATTCTCATTTTAAGGGTTTCAAATAATATAAAACTTCATCCTGAGTATGATTTCTTTGTTTTTTTTTAACTCCACAACAGTGAGCAATTCATTTTCTCAGCATTCCCCAAGAAAACGTGCAATTAAAAATATGTAACAATGGAACACAGGAAGTTTCCACCAGGGAATTTCCACCAGTTTGGCTGTGGGCAGGCAAAAAGCTAAAAAAAAAAAAAAATAAAAAATTAGGAGTTCAGATCCAAACACCTGGGCTGATTTGAAATTCTTCTTATAATCATTTCAAAGAAGTCTTCCCTGAATGCAAAACTGCAAAAACAAGGCTTATTATAATGTATAATGTGTATTTATTACTGATATTATGTGTCATTTTGCACAGTTATGTTCACTACATCTAAATGACTGTATTAAAGAAAGCCATGGGGTTGAGTCTTACTTTGAAAACAATCTTCTACTCGTTCCCTAAGAATTTCCTGAGGGAAAAGAGGGATGTTTTTATAATCCCTCTTGTCTCCCCAGCAGCACCTCCCTCAGAAAGAAGAAACTCCAGGTGTGGAATTCACAGGCAGACAAGGGCTGGGAGAAGAAGCAACTCCAGTAGAAGGAAGAATATCCAGAATATTTGTTACAGTCTAGAACTATTCTATAAGGAAGCAATAATTCCATTAAAAAAGTAAGCACTGCTCATGGGGAATCAACACCTGTAACCCATTTTTAATATAACCCAGGAACAGCTGAGCCAAACCTCAAAATAAAGGGCAAAAGCAAACCAATAAACCAAGATAAACACAGAACAGGCCTTTGGAGAAAAATCTCTCCAGCTGATCTTTAAAATTTGATCCCAATCCAGCAGCCAATGCTTCCTTATCCATTTTATCAGATTTTCCCTGGAAAGCCCTGCAGTAGGAAGTGGTCATGTGTTTACAGGGGCCACTTAAACAAATTAATATCTCATTAGTACGTGGTGAGCATGCAGCCTAATGAGAGATTCTGTCCATCCTTGATCAGAGCCCAGAACAATCCCTGCAGAGAATCGTGGAGATTCTGAAAAGCCCTCCTGGCTGAGGAATGGAGAGCAGGGTTCCAAAGCTCATTTTAGAGCTTTCCACCCTTTGCTGATAACAGCACAGTTTGAAATGTGTCTGAGCAGGACACTTGGTCTGCTGTCACCCTGCTCTTAACGAGCTTACACTCATTTGATGGGATGGAAGGTTTTAGGAAGTTACCCAAGGTCACAACAATTGCTCAGGAAGGTTTTCAGCTTCTGGGAGGATTGAAGAACCCACAAAAGCAGTGCCAGACTGTGACCAGCACCCCCTGTAATGATTTCTTTAATCCAACTCAGGCAATAACCAAGGAAAATAATCTGAAATAAAGATGGGAGGGGAAGGAAATCAAAGCTACCCCACACAGACAACACCCCCAAATCCAGCAGCAGGTTAAAACAGGGATCTCAGGATCAAACCTAGAGCTGAAGTGACTCTGAATTGATGATCAGCATTCCCAAAATTCCCTGTGCACAGCCAGCAGCTCTGATCCACACTCACCTTCTCCAGAGCCTTGAACTCAAAGCTCTGCTGTGAAAATGAGGCTTTTCCCAACACACCACAAACTCCTCCTCACAGTGGGGGATTCAATAACTCCATTTTCCCAAGCTCTGGGGGGGATCAGAATTCCCCACTTTAATATTTTCAGCACCTTAATACCTGGAAGAGAAGGAGAGCTCTGATGCTCTCTGCATCCCTGCCCTGCTGACAGATTTTCCTCCAGACTCCTTGCAAGAAAGGGATGTGGGAAAAGCTCAAGCACTGCCTCACATCCCATTTTTTTTATGGAATGCTGTTAAAAACCTCCCAGAAAGGGAGAATTGATGATCCTTTACCTTTCCAACACATTCTACATTAACTCCACTTCCATGGCTCCTGGAATTTTCCATTCCACCATCAGGAAAGCAGCACTGGATGTGTTTTACCTTCCCTCTCACACCTGTCTGTTGTCACCTCTTGAAATTTAAGACAGACAAATCTTTTAAGCATCAGATATGTTTATTAGACAATTCCAAAAGTCAGTTTTAGTAGGCAACTTGGAAAGAAAAGTAGGATATATTTGAATGTCCATGGTTTAATACTTCATGATCTCAAGGATGTGGCAATCACAGGAGATAAAAACTGTTTTTACAAAAGGTACAAAAGCTGCACTGCATTCCCAGTGGCAGGAAACAGCATTAGTTGACAAGGAAGCTTTGGAAAAATGCAGATTTCCAGCTGATATTGGAACACTGATGTTGTCATGGAGGTGCATTCCCAAAAATCAGAGTTGTGTGGAAATTAAGGCACTTTGGATACACAGTATTCACTTCCACATGGAAAAACCATTCCAGAGAAAGCACAGGAAATTCTCACTGGAGGGATGGGACAGAATTCCCAGTACAGACCAGCAGAGCTTAGTGGGAGTGAAGCTCTGGAGAAAAAAAACCTCACTGAAATATTATTTTTTTTTACCATATTTGATAATAAAGTAAATTTGCTTTACAGAGGTTAAGGGAGATTCTCCATGATTTCAACACAATTTTAACCATTAAATGTAAAATCGGTGGGAAAACTGCATGAAATTCACATTAGGGATTAGTGCACACAGCTACTTCCATATAATAATAATAAAAATAAAATAATAATAATAATAATAAAAAAAAGCATTGACCTTCTCCACTCAACACCCATGAGGTACCCACCAACCACAACCCAAAGGGGATACAGTACAAGGGAAAAATTTGGCAAAAAGCAATTTTAAACAGCATTTTCTGCTCCTCCTGGTCACTTGAGATTGTCCTTGTTCACTGTTCCTGGCACATTCTACAGCAGAGCCCACAAAAAATGATTTATTTTAAGGAAAAAAATTCAACCTCAGCTGCTTTTCCTCCCCAAAACTCCAGCAGTAATTGAGTAGTTTTGTAGATTTCTAGTGCAGCTTTTGGTACATAAATGGAGGAAAATGTTTGCAGAATCCAACCCCAAATCCAAGAGGAGTGAAATGGAATTGTTAACAATGGCATTAAGGATTTATCACCAGGCTGGGTTTTATTTCACTGCTTTACTTCATTATTGAGTGAAAAAATGTCACTGTACAGTGAAAAAAAACCAACTTCTTTTAATTCAAAGCAGGATTTAAACGTGGAAATGATGTTTCATCTGAAAAATTTGGTTTATCATAAAAAGAAGTAATTTTCCCAGTTCCAACAGATGTCATCAAAAGCAGGAAGACACTCAGATAATTTATTATTCCCAGGATTTTTTGAAGTTTATCCTGCTATGTCTTGGACGGAGCATTAACAACCAGAAAAAAAAAATCTGTCAATAAAATTAATTAATTTCTCTTTTAGCAGGAGACAACCTGGAACCCCTCAAATATCAAATACAGCTACTCAATTGTAATTTCCACAGCTGGAATTTCCATGGAAAACATGGAATTAACCTTCCTGAAATTCCATTTTCCATTCCATATCCCACGACTGGGGACCACAAAATTATTTCTGTTCCCATTTCAGAGTGCTCAATTAATTCATTACTGACCATTCCCATTATTAAAGTAATAAAATTCTATTTTCTTAAGAGTGATTATGTAAACGTTTACCAGGATAATGCTATTTCAAAATATAGTGTTTTAATGTAATAACAACATCCTTCCAGACAAGCAAATAGGAGTTGAAGTTTTTTTTTTTTAAAAAAGCAAGGAGGAAATAAGAACACTCAATTCCTTGCAGTTCACACCCATAAAAATACAGAGTTTTACACTAAATTGTGATTTTTATCTGTCCTCAGGGTAGTTTCTCCTTTTGTGAACCTTCACAGAAGTCATGTCAGCTTTAAGATGCATTAAATGATATTATTTCCCAAATATAGCCACAATTTTTAAACTGAATAGAGACAGAAAATATCTTTGTGGGCAGAAAAGGATCTTAAATAAACCTAAGTGAAAAGGTTTTTAACCAGGGTTATTTTCTTTTGCTTTCATTAGGCAGTAAAAGTTGACATAACTTATGTTTGGTTTTATATCATTAAGAAAAAAATCACAATTTTTCTCCAACTACAATTAAGGAGATGTAAATGAAATACTTACTCATCCTAATTAAAGCAAAAAGATGGATCAAGTTGAACAATCCCAATTAAGATAATCTTTCAAATGTTCTTTGATTAGATGGCTAAAAGCCAACAGGAATAGTGACCAATGGCTCAATGCAATTTAACCAAAAATTAATGCAAATATAGTGAAAAATGGGTAAAAACTGCTTATGTTTTGTAAACTTCTTCAAGGATAAATTCATAATAATTCCAGATTTTAGTGACTACTTCAAGTCAACTGTCAGCACTGTCCCTTTGGCTGAAGTGCATCAAAAAAAAAAAAAAAAAAAAAGCAAATTATTCAGTGAGAATGTAAAGCCACGTGGATAACAGACCACATATATTATAATATCTATACATACACACAGAACAGGGGAGGAAAAAAAAAAAAAAGCTGTCAAATATTCAGAATTACCAGCACCACAGCGAGCTCCTACCACTGCTCCCAGCTAAAGTCATCTCCTCTGCCAAACACAAGGAAAAAGCCTAAAATAGTCAGGAAAATGACTGCATTGCCAGCCAGCACCAGGCCACAGGCTCCCCATTTGATCTGAAATGCAAGAAATGGAATAATCAAAGCAGTTCTTGGAAAAGATGCTCAGGGAAGTTATTTCTAGGCATTAGAACAGCTCAAATATTTAAAAAAAAAAAAAAATCGAAATACGACAGGAAAACGCTAAAAGCAGAACAGGCAAACAATAAATAATTCAATTTGTGTGACTAATTATTCAATTAGCAGCCACTTATTATCACTAATAAACATTTCAGCTAAGCTACTGCAAGGATTTAGAAGAAAATGATGACTTGCCTTACAAATCATTAAAACACACCTAAATCAGAGAGAAATCTGGTGAAATTAATGCTCTCCTTTCATTGCCATAAAACAGAATCAAAAGATCTCCTTTTAAATAAGTAACAGGCATAGAAAACATGAATTTAAAAGTGAATAGGTTGGGTTTTTTTTTTTTTCCATGAGCTGCACAAGTAATTCACTTAAATAAGCAACATTTACTCATAAAATACATGAGTGAGAGTTCCCTCTCGTGGTTGTTCTGCTGCTGCCAGGCCACAATTCCAAAATAAAAAAAAATCAGGGGAATTTATTATAAATAAATTCAGAGCAAGTACATCAAATTTAAAGGACCCAGTAAAACATCACTGGGTGGTTGGGACAGGGGGAATTCTTTGCCTTTCACACAAATGTGACAAAATTTCAGCACTGGAGAGAAAAGCAAAGAGGAAAGAACTGAGACAGAGTTTCCTTAGGATTTGAGGAAAAAAAAATGTTTGGGAAATGCTTTGAGAGCCACAAGAGCAGCTCTGGAAGCTTGGCTTTTATTTTTTAATTCCTAACATTCCTCAGCCCCCGGGTTTGCAGCATCCTAAGGGGAGAATTCAGACATTCCAAGAGAAAAATAAGGAAGCTGGAGCAAGAAATGATGGAAAGGGTCATGAGACAGAGAGGTGGAGATATGATCTTGTGTTGGACCAAAACAAGGTTGGAGGGGGGAAAAAAAACCAGCTAAAAACTTTTCAGTCATGTGAGGGTTTTTTGGTTTTTTTTCAGATCAAAAAGGCAAATTTCAGTGGATTATTTTCACTTGCAGTGGATTATTTTCACCTGCAGGCAGCACAATAATGAAATGAAAGCAGGATTTGAAGATGATATCCAGCAAGTGGTGCCTGAGAAGAAAAATTAGCAAGGACTTACTGCTTCCACCCGTGCAAGGATGATAGGAAATCCAAAAGCAGAGACAACAATTCCTGTGGTGAAGAAATAGGCCAGCTCCCTGCAGGCACTGCTGGCTGCATCACTGTCATCACCCACTCTCTTGGCTATGAAGTGGGGAATGGGGCAGATGAAGTAAAATATCAACACAAACAGGGGCCAGTACACACTGGGGAGGGGGGGGAAAAAAAAAAAAAAAGAAATGCATCATCAGTTAAAATAAATATTTCGATCGGGAAGTTGGTGCAATACCCCTAAGCCTATTTTTTGGCTTGAGAAGTGGATGAATGAGAAGATTCCACCCAAAATGGGGCAATTCCACCTCGTTTTCCCTGCACTGAGAGAGCAGCATTAATTTATTTTATTTTTGCGTTCAGTTTTGACTCATTTTGCTGATTCGACTGTGGCCACGGAGGGAGCAGCTTTCCCAAATGCCAGGGATAAAACAGGCACACCCTCACATCTCATTTCTGTCAGAGCTCTCACGAACCTCCTCGGGGCTTTTAAAGTGTTACAGACACGGAATCACAGAATTCCAGAATAGTCTGGGCTGGAAGAGAACCCAAAGCTCATCCCCGGCCATGGGTGGGGACATCCCACACGGAAACTTGTAGGAAGATTGCTCAAAAAACCAGGAAATTAAAGAAAACGTTTGTGTGAGATTAAAAACGCCGCTTTAGCAAGGTGGCACCGCTTTTCCTGAGGCAGCACAGAGCTCTTTGCACTCTTTTTTATTTTAATAGAAATGCAAATACCGCCTAAGGAAGTGATGTTTAATCACAACAAACTGCCACGTGCCAAGCGCCTGGAAGCGGAGGGGGCTGCAGGAGGAGCCAAACGAGGGAAACGCCTGAATTAATGAATTTGCAACAGGACAAGCTTTGAGAAAAGCGCCGGCCACGCTCACCCGTAGTACTCCAGGGCGCAACCCAGCATGAGGAACGTCAGCCCGATGGCTCCGCTGAACGACAGGGCCACGAGAGCTGCAACGGCACAGGGCGGCCGGTGAGGCGGGGCCGCCGCACCGGGCATCCCTCAGCGAGGCCCGGGCATCCCTCAGCGAGGCCCGGCCATCCCTCCCCGCCATTCCCGGCCGCCCTCCCCCGCGCTGAGGCGCTGCCCGGGCCGCGCTCCCTCACGGGGAGCCCCCGGTACCTTTCACGCCCGCCATGTCCGGGCTCCGTTGGCACTTCCGCCTTCTGGCCCCGCCCCCTTTTCGCCGCGTCACGTGACCGAGGCTTTAAAAGGAAAGGGCGGCGCGCGGGGAGCGGCTTTTCCCGCCCCGCCCGCGCTCGCGGCAGGGGGCGGGGCCTCCTGAGGGGACCGCCCTGGGGTGGGGTTTAACACACGTAACCCTCACAAATAAACGCGTTTATTTTCATATAAAACCCCTGTACGCACGTACCGAATGTACATATGTGTGCATTAAATTCATATCTGAGCGTAAGAAACGTATATTTGTGCCCAGCCGCGATTTGGATCCATAAGCACGGCTTTAAAGAGCCCCCGCCCCTCAGGCGCTGCCGTTTTGTGGGGACTCCTGAAAATCTCTGTTTTCACCCCAAAAAACGGAGCCGGCCGCCCTTTTGCCTCGAGCAGGGCCACCTCAGGACCTACATCATCCACCCTTCTGCTAATCTACACTAAAAAAGGTAACCGTGTTGGGTTTTTTTTAAGCCGTATTTTTCAAACCTTGGGTTTTTGAGGTGATGCTTCGGAGCTCCCAGCTGTTTGGGTTTTGTTTTTTTTTTTTTTGCTCCAACAATGGCCTTTTAACCCAAGAACAGCCGTATTTTAATTCAGCGATGGCATTTTTGCCCCAAGAACGGTCTTTCTGTTTCAAGAAGAACCTTTTTACCCCAAGAACAGCATTTTTGCCTCAAAACCAACCTTTTTGACCCAATACCAGCATTTTTGTCCTTATAGAAGGAAAATTTGCACAACTTTTTCAATAATCCTCCCCAGAGAGCTTTTCTTCAGATACCTCCCTCCTCAGCCCTTTATACATTCCCTGATCCATATTTTTTTCCCATTTTTCATTATCTAAAATTATTTTGAGCCACAAGGCTTATTAAAACAGGCTTAATCCACTAAATACTTTAAAAAAAAAAATTGAAAAATTTTGGTTTGCTGGCTGTGGGTCTCTGAAGGCAGCAGCCTAACAACAGCAACGCTAAGTTTTAATAATTCCCCAAAAATTCCCAAATAATTTGGGAAAAGCACCTGGAATGCCATTATCCATAAAACTGACCCGGCCAGGGCTCACCACCCCTCACAAAGGATGTAGGACTTGAACCTCGTGGTCACAAGCACAAAAGATACCTGAATATGTTAATTTGAGCTTTTTTAATGTATATACAAATGTTTTAGACCAGTCACAATTTCATCGAGTATATACCGTATTTACAAAAATTACAATAATTTAGTCAAACAGTAAACCTGAACATTGATAACCTCTGTCACTACCAGATATGACAAGAATGGGGTTTTGTTTTTTTTTTTTTTAGTTAACTATTTGGATATACATACATCCTAATACTTTCATGCATCCATAAAAACATTAGGGATGGAAGTAATCAAAGCTTAAGTGGGGTAGAGGGGTTTGGTGGGGTTTTTTTTTTTTGGTAAAGTTTAATGATGGATTTGTATTTTGTGAATGGATGTGTATCCAGAGTTATGTGCCGTGACAAACCCGATACAAAGCTAATGAGGTTTTCATCATTAAAAAAAGTACATTATAGTAATGAGATCCTTTTTATTATATAGGCATAGGTCACAATATCTACAAATGTGAATGAGAAACAATAAACCAACAAATCACAGGAACATGATTCACATTCCAGTTATCTCTTTAAATAAGACAAGCACATACTGGATCAAAACATTAATAAATAACATCCAGTTTGTTACTATTATCTTAAGGTCTTTTATATAAAAGGAGACCTATGTGTTGGTTTCACATTTTCAGTTAATGGCAGTAAATAATGGACCAGTACAACAAAAGGATGTTTTATACAGAAAGCCATGTACTTTGACACACTGTGTTTGCAGTAATAGCTTTGCCACTTGAAAATGTAAGTGCAACAAGTAGTGGATTGTCTTGAAAAACCACCAGCCTTAAAGACTCACATCCGATGGCAACCTGTTCCTGAGGCAGTAAATACACATTATTTCCTGCCCATCTTCTGAGTATCCCTCAAATACAGACAGGTGTTGGTAAATAAACTGCTAGCTTTAGTTACTCTGCAAAAGAACGCCAGAATTTGGGGTGAAGTTTGAATTTCAACTCGCTTTTGAACTAGGAAAGCTGCTTTCAGCTTCAGCAGCAGAGAGATTTCCTTGTGATGTTATTGCTTTGGTCCAACATAAACTTTGAAGAGAATCAATTTGCACTGGAGTGACCCCAGAAATCAGACCTGGTCTGTGGATGCCTGTGTGACAGCTCGTGCACCATGATCTGAAAAATGAAGTTGCAACAGGTTTCAGCCTGCCAAGAGCCTTGGCCAAGTGCTCTGGAGCTGATAAAGGCATAAAGGTGATACAAGTGGGCTGGGAAAAGTTCTGAATCCTCAGGAGGGGAAGTGGTACCTAGAAACTGGGAAGTTTCTAAACCTTTCCAGCAGAATTTTAACTTGTTGGTATTTCTTTGATGGTTTCAGGCTGCTGATGAGAACCACGGGAAATGCAGCACGTGCTCATTCCTCACTTGGACGAGGTGAATTCACCTTTCCCCCCCCCGAAAAAAAACTGCTGCTTAACAAACCAGCAAGGGGCTGTTGGATCCAGGACTCGTTGCTTGCTTTCCAAAGCACGTGCTGAGGAATTCTGCCTGCACGTTTCACTGCGGGACTGGGAGGTGAAGCACAGCATCAATGCGAAAGCAGCTGCCACACCCACCCAACCCCAGCATTCAGCTTTGGCTCTGTTCGGCCAGACTACACTAAATGAGCAATTAAGCAGCAAATGGTGACTGTTAGGAGTGTGCCTAAACCACAGCTGAGCACTTCAGTTGGATAATTCCATCCAAACCCAGAGGAAAATAAAATGTACATCAAAGTTTGGGCCTCACCAGCAGCTGTCGAACTCAACTGAAGCATTGCCACATCACACCTCACAAAAAAAAAAGGTAGGAAAAATTCACCAGCTACACTTTGTTGGAGACACACCAATTCCACCTTTTCCCAGTATGTGTTCTCTCTTGTCCCACTGGAATCCAAAATAAAATAGAAAAGTTACCAGAAGCTGTAACCCTGTGGCTCTGGTAAGGTGAGCCAGGTGGCCAGAGTTCCTCTGAGCTCAGAATTCTTGGAGACAAGTGTTAGGAAACCTTTCTCGTGCTCTTCATGGTAAGTATTAGGCTCTTAGTTTTCTGAAACTTCTGAATTTCCAGCCAGAGTTTGGTTGATCTGTGACATTTGTGACAAGAAACTATATAAGCACTAGCACGGGTCTGGAGTGGAGGCTGAGAAAGTACCTAATACAAGGGTTTTTGTCCTTGGTTTTCAAATTCTGACCAGGCATCGTTTAGCTCCATAAATATCATCTTTGCATATTGTTCATATGGCTGCCCAGTAGCCTGGAATAAAAACAGAGAGAAAAGAGGGAAATCAGAGCTCCCAAACCCAACCCCAACAGCTGGCATGTGAGCAGATTCCCAAGCAGTTCCATGAATTTCCACTTTTTTCTTGACAAAAATAAGCTACTCTGGAGGGCTGTTTTCCTTAAGAATTTCTTGGCTTTTGCTGCTCCTCAGAGCTGACAACCCCCAAAGTGGGATAAAGCACTGTCCCATGGGCACAATAAATGTAACTTTCTAAATAATAAATATAACCTTGGCATTGAGAGGAATTCCACCTGCATGGAAGGGGAAGAGCTGCCACCTGACACAGTTCCTGGATGAAATCAGAATCCCTGCAAACCTCGGGCAGCCCACATTCCTGCCAAGCCTTGAGACTCTCAGGGCCTCCATTCCCTGCCAGGTGGAATCTTCTTCCTCCCCATGGGGTGTCCCACAGGGAGTCCTTGCTCCCTGGGCAGTGAGGGGCAGCAGCCAGAGCACGAGCCACGAGCTGGGCAATCAAACAGCTCCTGATGATTCCATTCTAGGAGCTTGAGTTAGAGCAGGAACTGTTGTCCAGCAGCAGAATGGCTGAGAGTCAAAGGGAGGGTGACAAAAGCTCTGAATTTCTGCTGCTTGAAGCTGCAGGTTCCAGGCAGTCTTGGGGCTGGCAGTGGTTTCACAGAAGCCCTGACTGGTTTGGGTTGGGAGGGACCTTAAAGACTAAAATGGTCCCATGGGCAGGGACACCTTCCACTATCCCAGGTTGCTCCAATCTGGCCTTGAACACTTCCAGGGATGAGTTTAGAGTTCTCAACTTTGAGAAACCAGCACAATTCTTGAGCTCCCACTTTGCACAGAGCTGTCTGCAGCAATAAATCCCATCCAGCACTTTCTAATCCCCCTTGGTGGAGGTGGAGGCAGCCCAGCCTTACCTTGTCGGGGTGCACGACCAGCACAGCCCTCCTGTACACCTTCTTCACCTGCTCTGGAGTCACCAGGTCTGCCATGCTCACAGGCTTCCACTTGGTCTCCCCTGCCCACAGCACCGTGTGCATGGTGGACAGCAGTGCCCTGATGTTCCTCTCCTTCCCTTCAATCCACTCCAGGACCTGCAGAAAGGAGGGTAAGTGTCTCTTTATGTCTCACATTAAATATCCCACCGGGACAAAGTTTCTTCATTTGAATAGCTGTGACCCCGAGGAGCATCTTAAATTTCTTTCCATTTCTAAAGAAATGGAAATCTCTAAAGATTCCATTTCTTTAGAAAGCCTTCAGAAAACCTTTGTCTAATTGTCATTAGTTTTTATATCACTGCTTGAAAGTTAAAACAGACTTTGAGCAACATCCCTGCTAAAAACACTAACTTAATAATGCTTGATGGAATAGTCAAAAGACAAATTAAGTGTTTAACTGTCTGGTTCTTTAGCAATGTTAATTGCACACCTAAACTAAGCTCAGCTAAGCTAAAATGTAAATGTGAAAACCAAAGCATAAGTAGATTTTACTTATTTTACTAAGAGCTCCAGGCTGAGCTGTCCCAATGAAATAAAAATGCATCAGAGCAAAGAGAATTATATTGAGAAGGCCAAATCATCTGGGAGCTTCAGTGGCTCAACAGCTTTTGTGGGGATAAAAATGGGAGCTGGGAAAACTCCTGCCCAGTCCATGGCCTGACCTCTGCCCAGCTGTGGTGGCTGATGGTGATGTTCAGTGTCACTTCCCAAAGGTTAAAACCTTTCCAACAAGGCTAGAAGCAGGAAATTTTGAGAGGGTCAATCTGTTTTCTAGAAGTTGGCTTTTGCTGCAGCTTTTCCTCTGAGTTCTCTCTCCTTTTCTAATTCCAATTTGTGGTCTTGTATTTCACATACAGAGCAGGACAGGCTGATTTGCCTTCCCTTTCATAAGAGATCTGCAGTTTGGCAATTTATTGAGGAGAGATGAGAGAATTCCAAAGCAGGCAGGATTAATGAGGCAGAGGATTAGTTCAATTAGCTGTGCCTGCTAATCAGGGCTGGAGTGCTGGGGAAGAGCAGCAGCCCAGACAGTGACACTGAGCAAACCATTGTTGATGTGGCCTGGTTGAGGACACAAATGTACCCTTGGAGTTTTAAATCTGTTGAGGACTGGGTGAGGACACAAATGTACCCTTGGAGTTTTAAATGTGTTGAGGACATTCAATGACTGGGAGAACATCACCAAGCATTTTGCTTACTTTTAGTTTTTCAGGGTCCATCTCCTTTGCCATTTCTTCTTTTCTCATCTCAGCTATTGTTTTGGGGCCCTTCTTGTCTTTGTGAGCATTAAACCCTTGACCAGATAACAAATCTTCAAAATCTGCAGACACTTTTGGCTTGGAATCTTGAAAACCAAAAAGATTTGAAATTATTATCATAGCAGGGGTGCATTCAACACTGGCTTTCTACATCAGTTACATCCTTTGGTTAATCACATTAACAATCTCCCAGTGCTAATGAACATGCAGGTTCTCATGAAAGATGCTATTTAATGTTACTTTTAAGTTGTTGTTATTATTATTATTATTATTATAGAATGCCAGAATGGTTTGTGTTGGAAGGTTTATCCAGTTCCAACCCCCAAAGTTCCAACATCTTCCACTATCCCAGGATGCTCCGAGCCCCATCCAACCTGCCCTTGGACATTTCCAGGATTATTTTGGAAGCTCATTTGGAATACAGAACTTCCTAAATAGCACAGTTTAGCATCCAGGACAGGATAATCAATCAATCAATCAATCAATCAATCAATCAATCAATCAACCAACACTGACTTGCTTAGCCCTACCCTGCAAACCCAAGTGACATCCCAAGTGACCCCACGCTCTGGACGCTGAATCCCCAAGCTCTTACCAACATTAGCGGCTCCTTTCCCCCGCTCCGCCTGCGCCCCCTGCGAGAAGCTCACGTTGTAGTTGGGCTTGTTCTGGGGGGAGGCGTGGGGCACGCTGGGCTGGCCCTTGGGCTGTGTCCCCTGCCAGCCGTAGCCCGTGCCCTGCTGCCACCCGCTGCCCCCCATGGGCTGCGGCGGCGGCTTCTGCGGGGACGGGGGGAAGCCCCCGCCCATGCCCGTCGGGGTGGTCGGTTTGCTGGCGAACGAGGAGCCACCTGCGGAGAGCGACGGGACGGGGGTTAAAACAGGGACTCCATCCCACCAAAATCCCCCCCCCCGCTGCTGGATTTTACCCTTTTGTCACCCAGAGATGGGGTAACTGAGAGGCGTTTTGAAAAGCTTTTATTCCGTTTTCATTCCAGGCTCGTATGAGTGGTAAGACAATGCAGATGTTTTAATTCATGCCATCACATTCACCCTCCTGAGTTCTATTACAATACATTTTTCATAGTTCTGTTTCTCCAAAGTATCCAGTCTTATTTACAAAGCCATCCTTTAAAACTCTTTTTTTCTAGCTCCATTTCTCTCTCAACAATATCTATCCTATTCCATGCCATTTCTAAATCACCATTTCTTATCTCCAAGTTTACATACTAATACATATTGTATAAGCCTTCTGTCAAGTCTTGAAAACTCTCTATAAATCCATTTCCCACACCCCAGGCTTCCTTTTTCAGAAAAGGAAGAATTTTTTTCAGAATTTTTTTTGCAAGGTCGCTTTTACCCTGAGGTTGCTCTGAGTGTTGTTTATAGGACAGCACCTGGCTTTGAGGGTTTGAGGAACTGGAAATTCCTTGGAAAACTGGATGTAGCAAACAAGGAACCACAGCTCTGTGTGAATGGTGGCAACACACACTGACAGAATGATTAAAGTTGGGAGGGACATTAAAGCTCATCCAGTCCCATTCCATTTCCCATGCTCAGAGCCACACCCAGCCTGGCCTTGAGCACTTCCAGGGTTGAGGAAGCTCTCTGGGCATCCTGTGCCAGTGCCAACGCCCAGCTGGTGGTGTTGAAATCGTGTCTCCTCACGTTGTGCTGATTAAAACCATCCACAGAGATGTGTCCCAGCACCTCACTGCTTTAGGGGATGCTCCTCTGGCTCTGGTTGTGTTTGTGGGAGGTACCAGTGTCAATGTTTTGTTATTTCACACTGACATCCACACTCAGCTCCCAGCTTGGAAATGTGTCATGGAAACTGGATGAAGTGCTTTCGATTTAGTCACGACTAACAAAAATGTGCTTAAATATCCTGGGGATGCCAAGCCTTTTGTTTTTAAACCCCACCACTCTCCTACAGAATGCGTGTTTTAGATGGACCTCGGTGCCTCTGACATGGGGCTTGGCAGCTTTTTTATTTTGCTCCTGCAGAGCAGCCTGAAATCCAGCAGAGGGAACTGGGAAACCTAATTCCAGACCCATGCTGGGGCTGACGCAAAGGGGAAAACAAACATCACACCAAACCACAAGGGCTCTCAAAGAGCTGAGGGCAGCAACAAAGGCAAGGAAAATCTATTTATCACACTCAGACAATGCTGGGCTGCAGGGAAAGCTTCAATAATTTCTCAGAATTGCCTTTTAAACATTGGATTTGAGGGCTTGTTGATTGTTTTTTGACATAAAACAAGGGGAAAAGGCTTTTCTAAGCAGTCAAGCTTTGTAGCCTTGCAAATACCCCACCTTTAGATAACAGTGCAAATTAGAGGCAGATCAATTCCACAGCTTTTCTCACAAAGCAGAGAAATGAGCCAAGTCTAGAAGGAAGCAATTCCTCAAGAACCCCAGCAGCTTTGCAGAGCCAAATTCTCCTCCCAGGCCTGTAGCAGCACTTGAACACAGAGCATCCTCAGCCACAGCATGTTTGGACTGATCACAGGTTGTGCTTTGCAATCCGTGGAGCCTGCTGAGCTCCCTGCACGTTGCCAGCACATTTTTTTGACTGAGGATCAGGAAAAGCATGGATTTGTGAGAGTTTACAGACAATCAGGCAGAAAGGAAAGCCTGGCAGCAGCACTGGCATGCAGGTGGGTTGAGAGGTCCCACACATACCAGGCTGCTCAGCCTATTTCTCTAAAAGAATGCTGGTAATTTATTATTTTCCTTTTTTTTTTAATAAGGGTTACAAACCTGCTAAACTGGCTCCAAGGCTTCCCAGATCAGCAAATGGATCCAATGTTTGGGGTTTAGCCTGATGAGTGGGAGTGCTGTGGAGGGATCCTGTAGGACTGGTGGCAGCAGACTTACTTCCCATTCCTAGACCACCTTAAAAAGAAAAAAAAAAAATTTTTTTTAAATATATATAAAAGAAAAAAAGAACATTTTTCCTCTTCTTTGATATGAGTGCAGCTCTTCCCCAGTGCTCAGCCACATATTAGAAGACTGCTATTAAAATTGAGTGTACCATTGTCAGGTTCATGAGCAGCCTCAGACTTGTGGCACTCCCACTCCCAATTAGGAACAGCACAGGAGTGTTCCCAGACTGTGTGCACTGCCAGAGGAATTGTGACACATTAAAATATGGATATATTTTAAGAACTAGAAGCCTTCAGGAAACAACTTTGGGAGGCCAGACACACTCTCCCAAGATTAGAAAAGAGTCGTGCAATCATTGAGTGGCATCCTGGGAATGCACAGCACTCCCCAGGTTTTTCCAGGGTTTTACATGGAATTAAATAACCTCTGGAACCCTCACCTCACCTGTCCTGCTCTGGGCTCTTAAGGAAACAAACCCTTTTTTTTTAATATGGAAATTTTTTATTTTTTTTTTTTAATATGGAAATCAGAAGGAACCTGTTCTTTTCAGTCACTGGCAGCATTTTCCCTCTACCTCTCCCCTCTCAGAGCTCCTTAAAGTTTGGGGGGTTTTTTGTTGTTTTTTTTTTTTTTGCTAACTACTCTGAATTTTATGCCACATACCTGCTTTATTGGGCCAGTCCCAACCACTGGAAACATCTGGTTGGATGGAAACTGTTGGAGTGCTGGAAGCTGAAGAGAATGATTGGTATCAGTATCTCAAAGCAGCCCAGCAAAACCAGCACAGCCCAGTGCCCACCAGGAGCCACTGGGACTCTACAAAGTCTAAAAATCTCAGGTGGGAGGTGGCCCTGCCCATGGCAGGGGCTGGAACTGGATGATTTTTAAGATCCCTTCCAATTTTCCAGGGAGATCCTCCCAAGGAGCAAGTGTTAGATGATCAGGCACAAACAAACCCATGACTGGATGTGCTTCAGACAGGGTTACACATCACATTTTGGGCTGAGAAGGAGGAAATGAGGGAACTTTTAAACAGATAGAATTCCTTCTCTTGAGTCAAATTCAGCTGTGAATTTGGTTAGGAAGCTAAAGAAAGTTGCTGCAACTAAAATGACCAAAGCATGTGTGTTTTCTCTATGGCTGTGTTCAGTGCAATTAATGATAGTTTGGTTCAGAGGAGATCTCATAACCACAGGAATATGTGGGCAGACATTCTTCATGGCCTCTTTTTTATTGATATAAATAGCCTATTAATTAAATCTAAGACCTGAGCAAAACTCAGCTCATCCCTACCACACTTGAGATGCTGAATATACTTCAAGTCCAGAGAGAAAAAGCCCTTTCCTGTTTCCTGGGGTTTCTGTGGTTTAGAGTCGTTTTATGGGAAGCATCAGTTTGTACTTAATGGCTCCATTTCTATTTCAAAGCAACATTTTACATTTATTTAAACACCCTGGAAGAGCCTCTCCTCTCTTACCCATGTGAAAGGGATCGCTGTGCACAGTTGGTGAAGGGCTTCTTGTGGCTTGAAGGAAAGGATCCCCAGGGCCAGCTGATGAGCCAAGGAAGGAACCCAGGAGGTCTGGACCAGTTTGCTTGGGGCTACTTCCAAATGGATCAAAGGCAGTGGCTGTGAAAATATATTTGAGAAAATATTTGCACCAGGAATGTGCTTCAGGATAAGGGAATGCTGTGGGGAGAGGAAAGCTGATAGCTGCAGGTAGCAAATAGGAGACTGTGGGAGAGCATCAATATCCCAAATTCTGGGCACCTAAAGATCCCCATCACTTGGTCATGGCAACAAACTGATCCCCATCTCTCATTTCCTACAAGAGGCTGAATTTAGAGCCAGGCCAAGTGAGTATTAAAGTATTCAGGCACTTCAGATGGGTTTTGACTGCCAGTGGAGGGTGGAAGACAGTCTGGAGCTTGGAGTTCCTGCCCTGGTGCAATTCCTGCCATTCCTGCTTCCTCTCAAGATGATTTCAGGCTGGCAAAGGTTATCCATGTTGGGGATAAAAGGACTTTTAGAAACAGCTTTAGAAAATAATGGATATCTGGCCTACATCACTTGTTAGAAAAAATCCAGCTCTTCTCAACCTCCATTTTTGATCAATTTGTTCAGTCTTCTCTCTTTCATGTAAAAACCCAAAAAACTCAACCAAAAGAAACTCCTGTGAAGTCACTCAGATTCTTGTCAACAAATTTAAGGTTAAAAGCATCCTGAAAGGTACAATCCCTAGAAGCTCAGCACTGTGGTAATGATGTTACTCACTACTTATGTTACTCAGTCACTGCTCTTCACTCCTTTCCCAAGCTCTTATCCTTCTGTTCCTGGCTTGGGACAATTGAGCTGTGTGATTCTGGCTCTGCAGAGCTCATAAATCCCTAAATCTTTTCCTGGTCTGTTGCTGCACCTCTTGTGTGATGTGTCTGCCAAACCTCCCCTGGGTGAGAGTTCTCAGACTGAGCCTACAACAGCCACAGCAAGAGAAACCTTCTCCAGGTACCAGAGACCAATTTCTTCCACTAAAACTTGGATTCTTCTCCTCTCTCTTTGCACTTGCTCTGCTTTATCCTTCAAAAGATCCCTCTCCTAATACCTGTCAAACCACTCCTGCAGCCTGGTCTTGGAAGAAACAGAAATTCTCTATTTCCTAGTCCAGCATCACTCTCACAGCTCCAAACCCCCCCTAAGTTAAAAGAGAAATTCAACTCACAGTGCTGTAAGTCTACCTGAAACCCCAGAGGATTTTTTTGAAACTCATGTGCACTATTGAGAGCAAAACTGAGGATCTCCAGTGGGGACTGCTTTGGTGAGGATGCACCAGCGAGAGGAGAGGAGAGGAGAGGAGAGGAGAGGAGA